AAAACAAATGTTTATATGGATATCGTTTCTTTAATTTTATTTATGAAAGTAGGAATTTGTACTTATGTCTATATTTATACTTATGTCTTACAGTAATGAAGAACAGTGCCTAGATGATGGTTTAGCCTTAAAACCAAAAGCTCTACATTGCTGGTTGACTCGTATATTATACAACAGAAGGTCACATTTTGACCCGTTTTGGAACAATTTTATCATTGGCGGCATAGAGGGTGACAAATTGTAAGAACTTACATTAGTTCTTAATCTTTATAAATAGTCTACGGATTTTCATAAAACATTTTTAATGCCGATTTTGCATAAAAATCCGGTGTTCAGTCATTATATGGATTGTTGTTTGTATTTTAAATGTCTTCTATAGGTTTTTGGGTACTGTCGATAAACTTGGCACAGCTTACAACGATCCAGTGATCGCTACTGGATATGGTGCATACATGGCAACGCCAATTTTGCGTAAAGCGTACGAAGATAATAAAGAAATGAGCAAAGAGCAAGCGATCGAGCTCTTGTATAAAGTGATGCAAGTACTTTATTACAGGGACGCTCGTTCTTTCCCAAGATATCAACTCGGTATAATAACGAAAGACGGCGGCATTGAAATACAGGGGCCAATAACTTTAGACAGTTACTGGGAACCTGCAATTATGTAAACGTAAATGTGATAAAATTTTTTTTCATAATAAAATAACACACAATTTAATTGTACTACGTGAAATTACATTGCCAGTACTACAATTGGTTGAAAGAAGTCGGACGGTTATCAGTTCAATTATTTCTAACTGAAATACAGGGACTCCCGTTAATATTCAGACATGCTTTAAAATAGAATAACTCTTTTAATATGAGATCAAACAACTTCGTTTTCTTTGAGGTATTGGGAATTCTGATGAACAGTTTCTTTTAAATTTTTTGTTACACGTTGCATAGTAAGCTAAGTCTTCTAACATCACTCATAAAATTAAATTGGTTTGGTTCGATATTAAAAAAGCTATTCTGTTTTGAAATGTGTTTAAATATTGATGGGAGTCTATGTAATTTTCAAAGATTATTGAGTTAATACATCACAGCCGGTGTCAGTAATTAAAATAGTATGTTCACATTGTGCAGTTCGCGCGTTGTCCACTGTAACAGCTGTCCATCCGTCTTCTAAAATTTTAACATCTTCCGCACCTTGAGTTAGAACTGGTTCAATGGTGAACGTCATTCCAGGTAACATTTTGCCAGGAAGATCATTCGCTGTTGAATAAATATATAAAGTATTACATTTCTTTCAAGTATAATAGATTCCTTTTATTATTTGAACGTACCGAAATGAAAGATGTCTGGTGGTCCATGAAAATAAGTACCTATACCGTGGCCAGCAAACACTGGGACTATAGAATATCCATTCTTATTCGCCGTTTCTTCGATGATGTACCCTAGCCATTGAAAAAGATGATTTAAAGATATTTTATTGTATTTTTACTATCGCTAAAATATGTTCTGATATGGAAGAATATGGCTAGAGAAAGGAGAAAATTCAGAGGGAATGCCTTTTGCAGTTTAACAAATCTGTGTTTAACGTATCGTCTATCTATACATCCTATTATTGCAATGATTACCTATACTGGAGAAATTTTCATTTGGTTTACAGATTTCTATAGCTTTCCTTAAGCACAGCTCAGTAATATTCATTAATCGCTTAGCTTCGTTATCACAATCTCCTACCTCGAACATTTTTGAACAATCTCCATGATAACCATGGTAAAACACCTAAATAAAACACGAGTATATATTGAAATTGTATATTATACTTGTCTACAACTTATATAGAGTAAATCGCCCAATTTCTATTCACATCGCAGTTTCTGCTCACTGACTTAGTATCACATATAAAATGAGAGGAAAGAAGCCAGAGAGGAGAAATTGTTATGTGAACAGAAATTAGATCATTTACTATACCCTAGAAGTTTTTGCTCACTGTTACATCGATGTTGAGTATATCTCCTTTGACTAGTGGTCTTTTATCTGGAATTCCATGGCACGCAACATTATTGATGCTGGTACATATAGACTTTGGAAATCCTTTGTAATTAAGAGGACTAGGATAAGCTCCATTGCTTACGATCATTTCATGGACTACAGTGTCGAGTTCGTCTGTAGTCACACCAGGCTAAAACAGTTTCAAACTCAACTGGATCTTGATAAAGAAGAGGGGAACTCATAGTTTTACTTGTTATATGTATATACCTTTACGTACGGTTTAACATGAGTTAACAGTCGTTTGGCAAAATTGCAACTATCTCTCATACTCTGTATCTGATTCTTATCTTTGATTTCGGGCTTTTTCGGTCCATCTCGAGGTAATAAAGATTGGCTGTAAGAAGGTTTAGGTATATAAACTGGCACTTCTTTAATCTCAGTCACTTGCCACGGCTCGACAACCTCGTAATTTCCGAATGAATTGTTGACGACTTTACGTGGTGTTGTCTAGAAATCGAGAAGATAAGTTAAATCCGTTGACATTTCTTGAATGACAAACATACTTTCGGCGTTTTCTTAAAAAAGTTTCTGAGAAACATCTTCGAAGTGTCATTCGGTTCGATTTTAGAACGAGACAACCGGCGTGTGGAACCTCTTCTCACGTTCAAGATCTCATTACAAAAATTTTGTATCTTCTTCCTTGTGAACAATTTATCGTCAGAATACGTTCAGTTTACGCGTTACGGTACTTCAAACATTTGTATACGTTTAAAATTATGATGAATCGCAAGACAGCCTGACGTGTGACGTCACATCATTGAGCTATAATATTCATTTGCATTCACTATCTATTTTCACTACACATAAGACACGAATGTTAGTCTCGAAAAAATAAGCTACACATTTACAAAGTTACTGTGGTTAGAGATCATGAACATGCAAAACATGGTAAGATTTCGGGATGCGCTGTCAAACGCAAAGAACGTGTTGATATTAACCGGGAGCGGGATCTCTGCCGAATCTGGTATCCCGACGTTCAGAGGAGCCGGTGGTTTTTGGAGAAAATACCAGGCGCCAAGTCTAGCCACCCCGGAAGCATTCGCGACGAATCCGTCTTTAGTCTGGGAGTTCTATGAGTACCGCAGAAAAGTAGCAAGCGAGGCAAAACCCAACAAGGTACTTTATTAATCATTCGATCTATTAGCAATTCGTCAGGGATTCGATCTAGCGTTTATTAAATTATATGCGTGCATTTTATTGGAACCTCTAGGCTCACGAGAAGATAGCAGCTTTCCAAGCTCGTAGCTTTCACGAAGACAGGAACGTTACGATAGTCACGCAAAATATTGACGAACTTCATCAAAGAGCAGGAACGAAGGATGTGATAGAGCTTCACGGCTCGCTGTTCAAAACTCGTTGCACGGTTTGCCATGATATCGATGTTAATAAAAATATTCCCATATGCCCTGCATTAGAGGGAAAAGGGTAAGATGCTACACTCTCATCTTCAACCGAATTTTACAGGATTCACATTACCTGTAGTGATCCATACCGGCTCCATACAGATCGTACCCGCTACAGATAATGCGAATTCTGCGTTAATCATGATTTGGATATCGTGAACAGATTACCAGACCCAAACATTATGGTCTCTGATATCCCGATAGAAGATTTGCCCAGATGTCGAAAGGGAAATTGCAAGGGTTTATTGAGACCACATATCGTCTGGTTTGGTGAGAATTTGGATGAACATGTGCTCGATAAAGTTCGTAAGTGCATAGACAAAAATATAAATTCTGTATTTAAACAACATGCTGCATACATAATATATATATGTCTCTTCTCCAGATCTAGCTGTAGAACACTGTGACATTTGTATGGTAATAGGTACATCATCCATCGTATATCCGGCGGCAATGTTTGCACCCCAAGTGGCGCAACGTGGTATTCCTGTTGCTGAATTTAACTTGGAGGCAACTCCGGCCACCAAACATTTCAAGTAAATAAAAATAAGTCGTATTGTCCATATAAAAATGTAGAAAGCCCTCTCTTTCTCTCTCTCGGAAAATGCTCAAATTGTAAACTTTCCTGTACGAAGTGCCCACTTGCAAATATTGGCCATTCTATCTTCTCTGCTATTATATTTTACTTTTCCTGTGAACAAAACAGATTTTGATACATTATTAGCTAATAGATTTTTATGCAAAATAGAAGATTTAACGTTGTACAAACGGAAGATCTCTGTCAAAAGCTTAAGAAGTTCCCCAAAGCCGAAAGGCAGATAAATAAATATAAGTAAGAATAACATCGTGTACGAAAACTTAAGTGATAATTTCCAATAAAAATTCTACTAATTCCTTAAATACAAGTATGATTTATTTATAAACAACTTCTGGAAGCTTCTGTTAAAAGATCTTTTATTATCTTTTAGGTACCATTTTCAAGGTCCTTGTACCATTACCGTGGCAGAAGCATTGGAACTGTAAAAAGGCTGTATATATGCAAGTAAAACTGCTACTTACGTTTTAACTAAACATAATTTGGTATTTAGTCCAAGTCTGTGCAAGTAATCCATCCACAATCGTTGTTTCGTCGAAAGTTTATCATTAGGTCCTTTCACTTCGATAATTTTGTGCTTTAAAGAATATATGTATAAAAATGTACTATTTTTTACGAATATATTATCTAAATTAATATATTGGGTCAATGTAAAGGTTGCTGCCTGATTTGAAATAAAATATTATTTCATTCATATTCTTGCTATTGCATATTCATGCATATTCCAACTCTAAAAATAGGCTACGAACATTTGCACTGATCTAATATAATTTAAATAAATACCTCTTTGGTATCGTAGTTCCATAAAAATAAATCTGGAAAGCCAGCTTTCCAAGCTTTAAAGTTTTCACAAAGCTTATTACATATCCCAAGAACTCCTTCTTTTCCCAAACAGTATACTATTTCCTTTATAATAAAAACAGGTTTTTTGTTGATATATTTAATAGCGTAGCCGAATAATGCTGGATCCGCACTATCCATAGCAGGAGCGACCCGTATTATCTCCGTAAGTCGCTAAGACGACGGGAAAATAATAAAACTACTGGTGTAATCGTATTATAGATTGGAGCTGCTTGAGCTTTAATTCGCGATCGCTTCCTACGTACTTTCGTCTGTACTCTACTCTAAAGATTACAGCATTGCTTTTTCTGCCTTTCGACGAGTCAACGGTCGTTCCCACTACGGATAGTGCGGATATACGTTAATGAAGCATTTACCTTCATCTTAAAGCCACTTTCAGCACTTGACATCATACTGGTATATTGTCTGTACTTTTGGAATCTGGTTTCCATGTAATCGCTGAACGATTCGTTGTTGAAGTCCTCGAGGACCTTCATCTTCGTATCGATCTTATCTTTTCTATTCTCATAGAATTGTTCTGTGAACAAATCACTTGGCGCTTCCTGATACGGCGTCACGAATACACCAGGAATATTTATATCGTACAATTCTTCCCAAAACAGAGTGAAGAATAATGTAACTGGCAATGAACCCTCGTAATGTATTCCTTTCGGAAACCCTTTATCTTTATAGTACTGCAATACTACATTTTCTACTGAACCGTAAGTATCACCTGTATTATTCCTTCCTATCCGCCAAATACTTTTACCTGTTCCTGATCTAAAACAATATAATCGAGTATTAAATTTGATTTATTAATTGACTGCGGATTTTTATACAAACTAAAATAATTGAAACACAGAATTAAGCAATGAAAATTACATATGCCTTTCATTTATGAATTAAATATCATAGCATCCATTTTGCTTTCAACATTTTACATATTGAGTGCACTGATTAAAACTCACTTATATTTTTTATAAATAAATAAAAATTCGCAGTCATATTTATTAATACAAGATAAGCACATACGATTGAACATACCCAGGCATTAATTCAGCTTGTATTTCGAAAGACGGAGGTTGCTCTGGAATATAATGCTTATTAAGAGATAAAACGTTCATAAGATCGTGTTTGGTAGTTTCTTTGACGCCACCAGTTTTCCTTTTATATATCATATTTCCCCTCTCCAATAAATTTACTTTGTCTATTACAGTCAATTTTTCTTCGTTCAACACTCTCATTATATTTAACGCAGTATTTTCAATATCTTGTTTGTAATAAGACATTTTGATGAGATATAACTCGGTATGCCATCTTCCTTTACGTCCATGCATGTAATACTGTTGTTTTAATAAGAAGTTTAAGGCCCTTACTGCCAGCGTTTTATCGGTACTCTTCTTCAATGCTTGTATGCATTTATCGAGTATCTTCAACCACTTGTAGCCAGGCATATAACAATGTACATGTACGGGGAGCTCACAATTTTTAAATCTGTAAAAATTCAGGTTGTCGAATTTTTTTGAATTAAAATACAGTAATCTCCGGACATATGGCGATATGGGATAAATATATGGTGGGATACTGATTTAGAATCGCTTGTCGTTCGCGCAACATAGGAAAAATTAAAATGCCGAGTGTACAAGCGCAACAACAATTGAAAGAGAAGAATAAACATAAATAAAACTCGATGCTGATAAAAAATGTTTTAAACAAAAGTTGTAAGTACTGCTATTCCCTACAAATGAAGTCTTATATAATTTTCTTGTAACTTCAGTACTTTCTGAATAATCGTCATGAGTATGAAATTTACTGTAATTTGCTTTATAATACCTTAGCGATTCATCTTCTAAGATTTGTGGTAAATTAGTCAAAGCCGATATTCCAGACTTCTGCACTTCTTCCCAATTCTTCTTTTCAATGGATCTTAGTACATTAAATAATTTCGATGTCGCTTCAATATATCTACAAGTAAACAGAATAAATTTTAATAATCCTAAAGTACATTTTTTTAAATTGTTGCTGAAACAGACGTAAACTTACTTTACCAAATGTGATTTATCAGAGAACACTGGAAAGTAATCTCCAGGATGTTCGGGGTATGTTATCTTTTTTCCATAAATGTCGCTCAGCTTCTCAATTCTATCTTTGATATCTAATTTTGAATGATACGGTATTAACAATATTATTATCCGGTCAATAACATCCCACGTTTTCAGTGATATTCGTATACAAGAGCCTAATATTTCATTCACTTTCACCTGCAACAAACTGCCTGAGCTATTCTTCTGTTCGGGGAACAATGGTTTTTGTTTCGATGATTTCAACAATTCTTGTATATTCCTTTTTTTATTCCTTCCACGAGTTTCAAGCTTCCATTGACGACAAAGATCCTGGATCTCTTTTGCATCTAATAATTCAAGTGCCTCAGATAAATCCTGTGTTTTACCAATACAAATTTCCTTCGAAACGAGAACTTCCATAGCATGTCTTTTGTCTTTTATATCAGGATACTTTATGTTATTTTCCTTAATCCAGTCTCTTTTCCTTGATATTAAACGAGCTAACAGAAATAGTGCCTCTTCTGGAAGAGTTAGTATAACATATATAAAATCAAGTTCGTCTTCATCAAAATATCCGCAATTAATAGGATTAGCTAGCACGGTGCAAATAGCTGATAACAATATAAATGACTTAAAGTCATTGTGCGTTTTTATACCATCCACCTCGTATTTCGTTGAAATGCTCGCGTTTATTTTCTTACTGTACGTATATTTAAATTTAGGTTTTGAATAGACTTCGCTTAGGTCAAAATCGTTAGGCGGTATGGCACCCTGCTTGGCTAAATTCAAATTCTCGATAGTTTGATGTATAATGTAATCGAGGTGTGTATTTTTATACTTCGTAGGTGTTTTGCCAGATGGTACTTTTGGCAAATATTGAGGCGAGCTATTACTTAAATTATTATTCGCATTATTGAAATGTTTTATTCGTGACCACTTTTCAGATGCCTTTTTTGGAGTATAATTATAAGGTCTTGGTTCTTCGTTTCGTACTCTGTCTGAATTATTATTGTTATCATTAGCTCGTGTTAATTCTCTAGAAGAAGAAGGTCTTGATATTTTGAAATCTTCTACCTCTTCCGTCATTTCTCCTAATTTGTTGTCTGTACCTCTTAATCGTGCTGTATCCCTTACATTTTTTGCATTTGGATCTACAATCATACTTTTGTTTTCATTTACTGTTACTTCATTAACCGGAAGAAGAATTTCAAGCGAGTCGTTACTATCTTTATTTGTGTTCATCCAATGCATTGCATTATCAGGTTCTGTTATATCAATTATTTCGGCAGTTGCTGGCAATATCGTCTTATTACCTTCGATTGCTCTTCTATCATCATCGTCATCGTTGAGAATGACTTCCAGCACACTGTTAACGTTGTAGTGATCTACGATTATACATTCCTCTTCACTATTAGATACATCCAATTTTATTCTTTTATCTTCCATTATTTTTTTATTCTGGTCTATTGAACGTTTTACTTTATTAAAGTAATTAACAATAGATGTTTGTTTAAGTTGCGACATTCTGACTTCCACGTGTTATTTATGTATAAAATGTTAGAAATACTGTAGGATACGAATGTTATAAACAAACTCTTGTTTCCCTCAAGCTTCTGTTACTGTTCTTAGATTTCTGGAGGATGAATAATAGACATTGGGATACCTGGTCTCAGTCCAATCGTCTGCAACACTCCTTTATCAACATTTAATAGATTTGATAAAATATCTATATAAGTCTTTCATCACAGAATCTTCATTACTCACATGAAAACAACACGTACCACGTTCTATATTTTAATATTTAACGTAATTCTGCGCATAAGATATTTCCCGCCACTTCTTCAGTGTAATGCGACTGACTGATTCTTGATTTGTCTGACTGATCACGATCACTGACACTGACTCATATATATAAGTCATGTCAACACCATCACTACCAGTGATAAACGATAAAAGTGACGTAGCTTGGGTTTTTCTGCGGATGGACCAGATGGGGATGGATCATTATGCACGTTGCACGTTGTGCACTGCGACCGCGCACGGATCGGGATAAGTTCCATGGCACGCACTATACATAATTGTGAGACTGCGATAGATAGCATTACCGCACTCATTTACACTCATTGATCCTCTCTGTCATTCCGAAGGTTCCGAGTGCGGCTGTGATAGAGTTCAATGGAGACTCCCGCCAAATGCTAATAGTATTTTTAAAATCTTGCATTCAAATTCTCAAAACTTGAAGTATAAAGCCGTGTTAATTAGTGATTCGGTAATTAGTAAACGATGAAGTGTTTTTGCGTGAAAACTAGGAATCGTGAAGAGAAGAATCGTCGCAAGTATTTTCTACTTCAAAATACATCGTCTAAATCAAACAGTTATCTAATGTATATTTGGTCTGTACTTTATTCCTATTTTATATTACAATTACGTTACATAATAAATGAGATCACTGTTCCTGTATTAATATTTAACATAATAGTTGAATTGCGATGCGATCTGTAGATCGCAAACGTGATTCGATCCATCACAGTTTGTTTGACTGAGGCAGAAATTATACGGCCATAATCATAAGCTAGAAGGTAGAAGGACATAATCGGTGTTCACGCAATTTATGGCTTATGACGGACACGTTCTTCAGGCTTGCCGCAATAAGACTGTAATTCCTGTATCGTGCACGACTTCCGACAACACTCGTCCGAAATTCCCCCTCGGGTTTCTTTGATTATTCTGTTCGCGTTCTCAGCCGATGTGTAAGGAAACGAATCATAGTTATACGTTGTAGAATCATCTGCTTCCGTTGCTATGAAGAAAACAAGAGTCTCAATGAATCACTCAACGACACTTTCGATCAGATATTAATCTATGAGATTACCGTTGTTGCTTTTCTGAAGTTTTGTGTGATAAATGCCTTCACAGACGTCTTGCAACTTCTGCGGCAACTGGTTGCCGCAGTATTTCTGTGGCCCTTCCGTTGTTGTTCCGGCCCTTCCATCGTATTGGAACACAGCCCTCGAAGGCGTGTGTTCCGTTTCCGGCATCAGAATTGCCATCACGAGCATCAGATTCAGAATCGAGCACAATGCATGCGAGGACATCTAAAAGCAAACGAGGCCTCTGATATCGTTCGTTAAAAATACATGTTGCACGTAATTAAAACATTGATGGCTCTCTGAAAGGCAAGTACGAACTACAAATGATAAAAGAGATGTTGGATTAGTACAACGATATATTCAACTAACAATGACGGAATGCATTTAAAGAAGTTACTGTTCTACCATTAACTGCCTCCTAGTAATTTATGTATTATAAATAGTAACATAAGAAAGTAGATAACTTCCCTACAAGTTGGTGATTATGTTCTTTAAACAGTACGAGATCTTGTATGTCTCATTAGATGGAAGAAAAAGATTTTTATTATACAGCATTTGCTATACGTTACGTATGTTGTACTCTATGTGTATTGACTGAGTAATACATAGACTGCGGGTGTTTAGCCAAACTCCTATTTTGTATATAAAACATATTTGTACCTTCCCTTAAATGTATCATTTTCACGTTGAATATTTTGTGATTCTCTGCACATTACTACGTTTCTTCAAATTATTTAAAATTCCCATAAATGCAGAAACATCCGCAGTCTAGTTATGTATGAAATATTGACAGGCATTCCAGATGATTTCTAATTCATTATACATATAATATTACCGTCGCATAAGAATTTGCAGCTCTGGTTAGATTCGCGTGAACGTTTTACGCGAGGGTCTGATGTATTAGTGCAAATTCTTTTGTTCGTCGTCGGATTCTGAGACGTTTTCTATTTTAAATCGGTTTTATTAACTTTTATCAGAAGTTATCGTTAACGATGTCCCGCGCTGTTGCTGCATCGCAACATTGTTCAGTTGCGACCTATTTTTAGATAATCGCGAATACTTGCAAATCGTTTCTCTTTCGTCAACTCTCCCTCTGCGGGAACGAACTCTTTTATTTCAAAAAACGAGTTTTCCGATCTGCAGCGTATAAAAGTTAAAGACATGCATAGATAGAATGCCTTTTGAAATAGGAAAGTTTTTAGTTTGTTAAAAAGGCTACAAATAAATATTCGTAGTAGACATTGAAAAAAAAAGCAATGCTCCTGCTAGTCTTTTCCGTGATGACTTATAAATAGAAATCTAGGTAGAAAAACGTCATGCGAGATACGGTGGATGCCGCATTTGGGAGTTCGTACATTAATAGTAATTATTATCGCAGCGACGGAATGATTCACGACTGAAGATGATAACATACCGTGTCGATATAACTTTCTCCAGTAATGCAGATATTATTTAACTATTATTCCCAAGAATGTAACCATTCTATTCCCGGTTGTCCACAGATAGTTGCCTCTCCTTCTTCCCGTCTTCAATTGATTAAACAGCAAATCTACACTTTCTGTTCTTAATTAAACTTGTCATGGTATTTTTAAATCCTATCAGCATACGTAAGATAAACTTTAATACTATCGAAAACTAAAGCAGTTTTATATTAAGAACTGTTCAAACCTCGGTAACTCGAATCTTCATAGAAAACTTTAAATCTTTATTCTTCTCTGGGGTAATTTATCGATCAGAATATAATTAACTACCTACAAATCTCTTCGAATTGCTTCATTTGAACATCTCCAGCGATCGGATTCAAATTGTACTTTTACTTCTAGTTAACGAGGTTCAATCAAAAGAAGTATAGAAGATAGAATCACTTACTACGTATTGTTAAGATAGACATCAGCGAAATATGTCTCTATATGTATTTTCTTATATATAAATTATCGTATCGTATTATGTATATATAAAAATTTCGTAGTATAGTAGTATCACGGTTTATCACAAGGTTAGAAGATTTATTTTTCTTCAGATATATAATTGTCCCATTAATCGAAGGACAATGCCTGGAATCCTCTAAATAAAAATCAAATTACAATATGTAAATTGAGTGATATATTCAGCGGCGAAGGAACAAGAGTTTTGGTATGGAAAAATAATTGCGAATGATAATAATTCGATGAGAAAGGAATTTACTGTTGTAAGACCTTTATTCTTTTTATATCTAATTTGATAATGATTTTAAGTTGTAGATTCCAGTGTTGGAAAAAACATAATACAGAACGATAAGAGGTCGCGAAAAAGTAGCGATAAAATGTTAATGCCGAGTTTTAGTATAAAGTGTAGTTATTTATGGTGAAAGATAAACTCAAGAGCCAAGATTTGTTGAATAAAAAAATTGTAAATGTGTCTATACGTTTTGGAGCTCTTAAATTCATTTTAAATTTGAATTGTACATGTTTGGATCTATCGCATGTCAAATATCAACGATGATCATCTCGTGTAATTTGAAAGGAAGTTTTTCTAGGAAAAATGGAGGAAGGGAGAAAAACTTATGAAGAAAGGAAGTTTCATTCTACCTATCGAAAAGTAATTTTGGAAAGTTACCTCTTAATTAATTGTAATGATGAACGAGGAACTCCTTGGCGATAGAAGGCAATTCGTAAAAACGCATCGGTCCTCTTTTTCCGTTTGTTTGTCTTCATCTCCTTCAGTTCATCGACAGACGGTTTAACACACGCCAACGATTCGCCACGACCTTTCCTACTTAATATACGTCAAATTGAAGACTGCACTCAAAAAAGCACATTCTGTTAGAACGATCGCGTTGTAATATCATGAACATCTTTTAAAACTTTTCGACGTTCAATTAAATTTCATACTACCACTTTACTCGTTACATCCTTTAAGTACGAAGACGAAGACATCAGCAATGTAAAAAAGAAAAGAGGATAGAGAGAACACTGGGACACTTCATCCACCGAGCTCAAGAGTTTGTTCTGCCGCTCTGTTTCAAAATCGACAGAACCCGTGAAATACACTCGATCCCCACCAGCCAAGTTAATCGCGGGAGGGACAGAGAGAGAGAGAGAGAGAGAGAGAACATACCGCTACTTCAATTCTTCTTTCTTCCAGTTTGCTCAACTAGAGGCGAACGTACCCCAAGAACGAATAGGAAAAATGTGTTAACGAAAAGTGCTATCGGCTTCCTTATATACCTACAGTTTCCAGTTATACCGAATGGCAAAAGACAGTCTCATTAAGCACATCAAATTCTGTTATTATCCCAAACGAAGCTGACGTTCCGGTGCATAAACATTCTCTGATTTTTGCGAGCGATTAACCATGGAACTCATAATGCGGCGATTATTAGACGACGGTACATAAGAAGTATTTTCAACCGAATTGTTTCTCATAATTTATACAACGTAGGCGGGACGAGAGTCGTGTGGGAAGAAGAAAAACAAGAAAGATATGCACATTTTTTAAATATATTTTACAAAACGTTTCTATTCGTACAGCATATAAAACAATACTCTGTATTTATTTTATATTCACACATTAGCTCTATACGACTGTACCACTCAATATTCTTTTCGTTATACGTATAGAATACGACTTTATACAGTTGCTCGGCGGGCATTCCTTCCTTCGAACATCGATACTATGATAGGGCCATGTCCTTCTGGGCCGTACCACCGGCGTGTTTCTCCGAGTTGATCGTTTTCGTCGCGCGTTCCCGGTCGATTGTCAATTCCGTGGCGTCCGGACTCACGTTCTTACCGAATACCCTGCCAGACGCGAATTCCTGTTGCTCTTTCGCGACCGTCTGCGACGGCCTCTCGTGAACCGTTTCGCTCGGGACCACCCGTGCCGGTTTCTTCAGATGCGGTATCGTATTCAACACGTCTGCTGCGTTCTTCTTGTGCCCCGCTCCGTGGTGATTCCCGAACACGTGCTCCGTTTTTCCTAGAAACTGATTGCCGGTACTCTCAACGTTTCCAACTCCGGTACCAACGGCGTTGTTGCCGCTGGTAACATCGCCCATGCTGAAGCTTCTCTCCTTGGGTCTGAGGAACGAGTCGTCGAACACCTCTGTGTCACGTTGCTCTGGTGGCAACCTGTTGATCCGGGCTTTCACAATAGCCAAATGCCTGTGCACGTAATCTTGATGAGGAGCCAACGCTGCTGCCTGCTCCAAGCACTGTGCGGCCAGTCCCAACTTACCACGCTCCACCATTACCACGCAGAGATTGTGAAGACCTTGGATGTTCATAGGATCCAATTGCAGTATCCTACGATAACACTATAACGAAGGAGGAATGAGACATATTATGCAATACTGAAATCAACGTAACAAAGCTACAATCGAAATTTTGTTTCAAATATTTCAGTTGTTTTTGAGATGGTAACATACGAGTAAGTGCTTTCTCTTTATATGATAATAGTAGGACTTGGTTCGAATGATTAATCTAGAAACTCACGTTCTCGGCAGCGTCCAGATCTTTTATGTTGTTTATATAAATGTCGCCTAAGAGGATCAATCCTTTGACGTGATCCGGATGAAATCTGACTAGCTGATTTAAAAAGGGAGCAGCTTCGAGAGGACGTTGCTCGTCGGCGAGGAGAAGGGCCAAGTTGAACAACGCGGAACGGAAATCTTCTTTAAGAGCGACTGCGTTACGGAACCATCTTTCCGCACTTGCACTGTCGTGATCGTCCATCGCCAGCATTCCCAAATTAAAGTGAACTCGTTCGTTGTTCGAATCCTGAATACAGATGAACGACTAGTCTCGATATCATATTTATATCGTGTTAAAATGGACAGAAAGGAGTAATACTTTTCTCAAGAGCTTCAAAAGCCTTTCTCTGGCTACTTTTCGCAATTCAGCGCGTCCGAGTTCTTGAAGTAGAATAGCCGAATTTAATAACGCCTGCTCATGTTCCGGATCGAATTCGAGGGCTTTATCGAGATATGCCAAGGCCTGGGATGCTTTTCCCTGTTCGAGGAAGACGACTCCCAGCTGCAATTTTGTACCAACATATTACGGTGAGTTTCAAAAGAAATGTAAGAGAACTAATTTTTATGCGGAATTATGCCATTCTCAAGCTAAACATAATTTCATCGGTTGTGGACGCTTACGTTGTAATAGATGTCCGGATTGTTGCTATCGTAGAAGAGCGCCCGCTCATAAACCTCCTGGGCCTCCTTCGTGCGGTTCAGTTTAATGAGAACGTCGCCACGATTAATGTACGCTTGCGTGTAATCGGCGCGCATACTAATTGCCTGCCTATAAAGCAAATCGGCTTCTTCTAATCTAGTCGCGTTCTTCGCTATCAAATTCGCTAGGTTCACGAAGACATTCAAGTGATTAGGGGCTATTCGCGCTTGGTAGGACTCCCCGGGTTTCGCTTTCGGCAACAACGATTTCGCCTTCAGATAAGCATCCTCGGCTTCTTTAAACATTTTCAGGTGATTGTAAGTCCTGCCTACGTTGATGTGAGCACCGATATCGTCGCCCTGGACTTGCACGGCCATGTTGAAGAAATTTAAAGCTTCCTTGAACCTCCCTTGACTTTCCAACGCGTGGCCGACATTATTAAATAACTTCGCGTTCCGATCATTCACCTTTAATCCGGACATGAATATCGAGTATTCGTCCAACCAATCGTAGTTTCTCATAAAGGTCTTAGTCGAGTGCGCAGCCAAGAGAGTTATTATTAAAAATAATGTCAGTTTCTTAAATCTGGAAACCGAAGAAGTAGGAATTAGAAACAGTTCAAACAAGAAGGCAAGAGTTCTCTTACCTCTTCTCGCTTAGAATGCTCCATCCATAGCCAACGAGCATACAGAATCCCATGGATGGCGCATATAACACTCTTTCGGCGATGACGAATCCAACCGGGAAGAACAGGTTTGATGCGGGTAGAAACGGCAGTACCATCATAGCCAAACTCTGTACAGTACGTTTACATCTTTAAGATAAGAACTTTAAGAGTGACACTTTTCATATACCAACCATTATAAGAACGATCGAAGTCTGCCTGTTCGCTGTTAAAATCGCAGTTACCAACAATCCTATTACAGTCGTGTGGGTGGCTATGGTAGCGAGATTGCGAGGATCTATGAAACTTTCTATCAACGGTATCGTCCCCATAGTCCAATCACAGCATAAATCGTTTGGAAGAAACAGCAACCTTAGATTAACCGCAGCGAGGTAATTGTAGGTAAGCTGCCTTATCGGCGTCGGTGCCACTGATGCGGGATTGTCAAATCTGAAACATCGATCAATAAATTATCTTATTTCTATTTCTAATTGAGAACTTCCACGTTTCATTGAAATTCGTATAGAACAACTGACGTGTGAACAGAGGTGATGGGATGCGCGCCGCGGAAAAAAGAATCCTATCGAAAATGCTTTCTCTTCCTAGGTGTATAATGCATATTTTTTAATTACGTATTGATAATTTTTTCGAGTGATTGAGGATTTTATAAATTCGATTCATTCGGTCTTAGGCAAATTTCCTATAAAATAATAGAAATAGAAAGAAATTACAGGAGAAGCAAAAGACAGTTCTGCCCCACTCGCAGTCTCGTTTCTTCTCTTTCTTACGGCTTTCGACAGCTGTTCACACTCAAGTTATTTATATAGCTCAATGGTACAGGTTTAATACGTGTAATCAATGTGTACAGATACCTGGTAAATACAGGTAACTTCGAGCCCATTACATGTAGCCGAAGGATAAGTAAACTAAACGTGACAAGTGTGAGTACCGTCAGTCGTTTTGTACCTTCACTGGACCAGGCAAGCGATATCTTTTTCCCACCGAAGGCTGCCTTTAACGTCAGGAAAATATCCATTGCTCTTACCTAAAATAGAGGAAACCGAATAATAACGAAGTTTGTTTTTAGTACAACTAATATTGAGATTTACCTTTTGTACAACGAAAATTTCGTATAATACGCAAACAGCGGTAGCCGTTATCCCTTGCTCTTTGCATAACATGGCAGTGAAGACGAATGACATTGATAATATCAAAGACCTCCATCCTAGAAATGGGTAGAATAAAATATTAATCTGAGAAGTGAATGGAAAATATCTCTAAGTTCCACGAATGATGCGGAAAGAATGTGGAATAAAATAGCACATACATCTATAATTCAAGATATCGATGAAGTGTACATCAAAATTTAAATTCGCTGCTTTTAAATTTTCTACACAAATCATGAACTTTCCGGGCAACTAAATAGATCGGACATTAAAGAAGAAGTCGAACATCTTACCTGTGGATCTTCTACTTCGGCAGCATTTAGTGTACGTGATTAAAGCCGCTAAATAAAACAAGGAGGACAGCGTCTCTGCTCTTCCGACCACTCCTGTAACCTTAATAAACGATTATCCACTGATAATGCGTCGAAACCTCTTGGAACTAGGAACTACGGAAGCGATCGATCGATCGCTCGACGTCGATTCTTTGTATACTCTGTACGGACACGCGTTCCCACTCAATAACATTGTGATTGCTGAGTGGAAGAGAAACCAGGACTAGAAGTAATTACCAAACCACAGAGATCTCGCTTTAACTCTTTCAGATCTACAGCGTTTTTCTTTCTTTTGATTAATGAAAAAATTTAGCTGTACCCTGTGTTTCTCCACTGAAACGTGTGCCAAATTCCAGATTTACAGACAGAATTTAATTTATACATTTTTGAATGACTCTGTTCATTCTAACGAGGATCGGGTCTGAAAGAGTTAATTTTCGTGAAGAGTAACGTCGATCGATTTGGTCGAAACGCGTGCAGAAAACCAGTCTTGATAAACTTACTGCCTCCGTGTGTATAGGATGTACCGCGAACAGGAGAGAAGACACGAATGTCGCGGAATCGGATAGAAACATCAAGCATGTCCTAAAATAGTGATTACAACACGCTTACAATAATTAAAAACTAACAGTATTTTAAAACTAGATACAAATATTAGGTACCGGACGAAGTTAGTGCGGTTTTTTTTCATTAATACGATTGACAAATCGATTTTCGTGTGGATATTGGCAAATACGACACACAGTTGTCTTTACTTGAAAGTTTAATGTTTGTTTAGTATATATTACCCTCTAGTTTTTAATTATTTCACTGTTTAATTCGATTTTAATCATAATTTTAAGCTTGTTCCGGTATCTAATACATTATAAATCAACTAGAATTAATATCGTCGTAAACAAAACAAATAGATTTCATTATTAATGCCTGATTTATATATTGCAATTATACGTGAGATAATAATATGTTACGTAGTTATTTTCATGTTCAGAAGCTAGAAAATAATGTGTCTTAACACACCTGAAATATAGTAAGCATACTCCAACATGTAGGATAACATTAAGTAAATGATATCCCATAGGATCCAGTTGATGAATCAAGTAATTCCATCGAAATGTGAGAACGCACAGTGGCCTGTACGATTTGTGCGATTGTTCCTATTTGAGAAATTACAATTATCAGCGTATTATTATATTTTTAAATTAGACAAATAATAAAAGATGTTTGTAGAATTCCTTAAAGGCAGAAATAACAAGATTGTTAATTTTAGTACTGATACCATCAATCTTTATATTTTGTACATGTCGTGTATAACAGAATAATTAAATTTCATTGATATTTTAATATAAGTCAAGAAAACATTGCTTAATATAAGAAATGAATTGACATGAGAATTAGAATGAATTTAAACGCGATCGAATAGTCACGGCATATAAAATAACTAAGTTTCAGTGATACTTCGATACAAGCCGAAGAAACATTCCTCGATACGAAAAATGAATTGTCTTGAGAATCAGGATGAGTTTAACCGCGATCGAGTAGTATTCGGAATCAGATCGACCGGAATCATTGAAAGGGAAGGAAAAGGAGGAGAAGAGTTTGAACGGATCAATACACAAGAAGGTAGCAGAGAGAAGAGTGAAAGGGAAGGGAACGGTAGAGGGGAGATGAGGGGAAATCGAAAGCGGCTCTGTCAAAAAGCCTATGTATATCTACCGCTACCTACCTTGTGCATAGGAGTACCCCAGAAGTCATTGTAAAAAACATTTTTCAGCGGCGTATGAGGCCTCAGGTCGCGGTTGTCCTTTATCGCCGAGATGTCGTCGAACACGAAACCGCAATTGAGGCTGTTGAGATAAACGACGAAAGCGGTTACAGCGACAATCGCCGCGAGTGCTCCCCGCGCAGGCACTCCCATCACAAATAAGACATCGATCGGCCGTCCGTCTTTTCCTTCCCGATCTTCGATTGACGGAAGACGCTTCCTCGCCGGGAAACTCTTATCTTTCCCGTTCTCTCTTCTCTGCAACTACTTAACACGCTATCCTACCCTATCTATCGTCTGGGTACCGTTCGAGTCGAGAGACAGTTTTAACCCAGTGATATCCAGGAGTGAGGCAGGAATATTGTTCCCGGGCACGTAAACGCGGACAAGCTCCTTCTCGGGCACATCGCGAAAGCGAGCAATTCTATCTACGTGTCGAGCAACGATGAACGCGAGCGCGATTTCTCGCAGAACGATCCGCGGTACCCGACAAGAGACATTATATCGACGACTGGAGGAGGCTGGTTTTATCGTTTACTTGTTCCCCTCGCGGGAAATAAGGGAAGCCGCACTCGAGCCTAGAGAGGGACCGAACTCACCGAACACCGGAATCGGATAATTATATCGTACACGCGCCGCTGTTGAGAGCGAACTGTCAAACGATAGATCGGAGTATCCGTCCCGTGTATACACGATCGTACGTATGGAATCGAGCACGCTACGTCTTGTGAAACGAGTACGAAATACGACGTCGCAACGGCGACGACGCGGATTTACTTTCGGTACGAATCACGCATGCGTGGCAGTTTCCTATGAGCGCGAACTATACTATACGCACCGTACGAGAGGATTCAGATGAGTTTATTATATTATAACATTTTGTGCAATTTTTAAGCTTCTGTTCCTTGCATATATCAATTGACAGAAATGATATAAAAATACTTCTAATTTAATGATATGCATCGCTACATCGATGTATATTAATTTAATTTATTTCAATCTTCCGCAGAAATAGTTTACGTATATATTATTTTTATTGACAACGAGTTTGATATTACTTTTATATGAAACTTTTTATAATAAACGAAAATAATCGTGGGGACCATTTAAATCGATGCAATGTTGCACATGCCTGGCGTCAACCAATGGTGCCGTTCAAACTGTAGTGGGGATAAAGCCGTAAACGATGGCTCTCGGAACATCAGTCGAAGTAGGCATGCCCTAAGCGTCGTTCTCTCGGCAGTGACATTCCGGTTATTTGAAAACGGTTTTTCTAATTAAAACAATCGAATTACGTACATATTTAATCTCCTCGCGATCGATGAAGTGATAGTCGGAGGCAGGATCGACGTTATTTGCCGGTTATCGGTAAACAGTTGATAGACAGATCGACGACGCTTAAAAAGAGGAATCATCCGGCGAAATTCGGTGGCGTCCTGGATTTGATTTCTGCGAAAAGTGTGAGTGCTCAAAAGTCCGTATTCCGTTCTTTGTATTATACATGCACCACCCTGCGTTACATTTGCACGATTCGTATAACAGGAGATAGGATTGAACTGAGTCGTGAACAAATTATACGTTCCTTAAATTGCCTATAAAAAATGTAGCAGGTGCTCGTTGTAAACAATGTAGAATGCTAACGATTTATCTTTGAAATAGTCTGTATTTTCGTCTTGTGGATCAGAATTTATCCATCTAGTCAATACTAGGAATTTACAAAGATACAATTGAAGGATTATGCCCATCAGTATTAATTTTTGCTCAATTATTTAGATAATAAGTATCATATTTTTCAATAACGAAATTTGAGAAAGCCTTCGATTTCTTTCTAACATTTGCTTTGATACTTCTCGTCATACAAACTTAATTATTTATAATAAGTAACATGTAAAAGAAAGAAAGACACCTAATGTGTAGAAATTGTATTCACGAAAGAGAAAGTTGCAGCTATGTATGCATCTACATTTCTTTCGGAACCACGCGGCGTGAAACATAATATAATATAAAAGGGGCTGTGAGTTAGGGGAGAAGAGAGACGAGGCGCAAAACAAAAAGAATCGGTCACAATGCGTTTCGAACGGTGAAATTTGTTCGATCGAATTATTACGCTCGCCACCTGCTGTATTCGAATTCGTAACGTTTTCATAGACACACACAATGTGTCGAATTAAACATCAAAGTTTTCATCAGAGAGCTCTTTGTCTTATTGTTGAAACTTCTGTTCTTTTCAATAATTCATTGATTTTATATAATAAAATTATTTATCGTGAACAATTTTAAGTTGAACGTAACAATGGATATGATGCGAGTTAAAGAAACTTTAATGACTTAGGCGTCAGCGTTTGGAATTAATGCGATTAATGAGAAAGATGCCAGGTTCATTATATCGGAAAAACTAGAAACGGGTGCATTCTAACTATGTATGGCTAGACTTCTCGAGGCAATAGACTCCAGAGAGCAATGCCATCCGATCGATCGGTTTACGTCTGGGCGTCCCGACGCCAGCTGCAGTGCTTACACACGTATACAGGGTGTCCGGTAAATCGTAATATGCCGAGGAATGAAATTTTGATTGGATTGCGAACATGAGATAAATTGTTTAATCGTGTACGAATGGTTCTTCGTCATTTTACCAGTACGATATAAATCGTTACTACTCTTCCTATATCTGGGAAGATTAGCAGACAATAAAATCTTATTTAACAGATGATTGTATAATTAACCAGCAGTGAGATAATAAAAATAATTCCAAGTTTGTGATTGCGGCGATTAACGTAATTAAATGCAGGTAGGATGGAAGGAATTTAATTGGAATCGTGTCTGGTCGGTTTGTAGATATTAAAATAAAAGATGAGTCAAGGGGATCAAGAGAAGAGCATGGATAAGAAGGAAATCGCCGAGGAGGAGAGGGAGAAGATGTTGAACGCCGAGAACACGAAGCATACAGCGGCGTCGGCCACCCCGGACACGGAATCTGAAGAACAGAAACCTAAGAAGAAAATACCAATCGGCGGAATTAAGATGCCCGGCTTCTGCCGTACGAAGAGCAAAGAACCTTGCAAAGTAATGGCAACAAGAATTATTCTTAACTGAATGCTACTTGGGTTTTTCGAGTTTCACTAAAATCTTTTTCTCTGAGAATTTTAAAGGATTAAAAGGTTCAAGGGAATCATGCGTAGACTGCGGATTTTATGCATGTATAACAAAATTGTATACCGTAATATTTAAAGAATTAAAGGGCATTTTTAATAAATATCATTTCTTAAATTGATACATTAATTTGCATGAGAATCCGCAGTCTAATATTGAGATTATCAGAAAACGTGGGTTTAATTCCTAAAAAGGATTCATTTTTAATACCTCCTTCAAGTTCTAAGAATAACTATCAAAAGTAATACCAGATCCATTTTTCGAACGACTTTATCTCTTCAGCTGGGTACCTACATCTACTGCTTTAAGAGCCTTCATCCTGTTACACTTCATACCTCCATCAAAATGCTTGATATTGATAATACAGCTATTTTCAATTTTCCAAGCTTCAAATATTTAAAAAATCTTATTGTTTGAAATCCGGCATTTATTCATCCCCGTGCACATATTTTCTTATTATGCACAGAATCGTTTTGCAAGCGACTATAGAGAAACGCATACATTTTCTCCTTGCTCGATTAGCGTCTGTTTACAACGAAACCACATTGCCCGAAAGAGCACGAGCTTCCCGGAGCACCATAGCGTGTTCACGAGGGGTGCTTACAGCCCCGTAACGATTTTTTTTCCAACATTAAACCAATGGGTGACGTCAGGCAGTATACACCTGGCATTATTGATCACGCGCCTTTTAAATAATAAGCGTACCCCACTGGTAAATGACGACGGCGACCATGATCACGATGATGATGATGATCCACGAATCGAATATCGATGTGTTAGTCTACAGGAAATGTGATCGTGCGCCTATCGAGCGGACGGAAACAGATCCTCTCGACCTTTAAATAGATTCCTGGGACCCTTATGCAATTTAAAAACGACCATTATTTAATACACAGATATTTTTGAACTGTTAGGACAATCGCTTTTAAATTCGTAAATTACATGTTCCGTTTCCACCGCCAGGATGACGAGGGTAAATCCGCTGACGCTGGGGAGGGTGATGCGACAGAGAAGAACGTTAAGGAAAATGAACAAAATGTGTCCCAGGAAAAAGCGAATACGCCAAGCAAGGACGCGAAAGAGAAAGAAGCACGCAAGGGAATCCTCGATTCTATAAAGCTACCCCTAGTTTCAGTCTTTCCTAGGAAAAAGAAACAGGTACTGCATAACTAGAGCATACTTTTAAAAAAAGTCAGTAAAAAAAGTTATAATCTAATTCGGGATATTTACCAAGTCGCTGTTTATTAAGATCAAATGAAGATAATAGTTTGACTAAAAACTTAGCTACATGTTTTCCGAGAGACTTTATATATTAATGCCTAGTCAGTTGACGATTGTAACACGGAAATTCACTTGACGAAGCCTTATTTATTGGCTTTTCTTGGCTTAAAACCTAACTTCACTCAAGCGCGTACGATCTTTTGTCTACGTCGATTCTTTTCTACAATTTAATATTAGCGTGTCCACCACAATACGAACTGAGAAAGCATTTCGATATACGATTTGGAAAACTACTTAATAACAACGATATCAATTTAGGAAGATGAGCTGGAATTGGGAACTACCGGAACCGCTGGATTAGCCAGCGTCGAAACTCTGGACGATGCCGCAGGCGAAAAGAATCCCGAGGACGGTATGGAAACTGTTCGACTGGATGGAGATGCTCCCGACGATATCGAATCCCCGAAACAACACTTTCTCGTCGCCTGCATATCCGCTGCAAGGAGGAACTTATTCGTGTTAGGTACGAATTTCCATTCACGATCGTAAATTATTTTTTACTGTTTATACAAATTTCTATTTTTATAAGTAAAATTAAAGAAACGAAACGTATATAAACATTTGTTTTCACTTCTAAATATTATCAATCGTATTTTATTTTTGATACTTTTTATTCTTGTGTTTCTTAAAATTGTTTAAAATTTCCATAAATACATAAACATCGGTAGTCTATAAATTATGTTTAGATTTGATCTAATTCGTATAATGTGTATTACAATAGTGGCTGCATTGTGCATCCTGATATCAGTGCTGATCATAATCTGCATCGCTTTCGTCGTCCCGAGAAAGGCCGGTGCGCAGCTGATAAAAGATGGGAATTTCGTGAAAGCAGTGACTTCCTGCGGACCAGTGGAAGGTGTAGCTGAGGATGCAGGCTTCGCGTTCCGTGGGATTCCATACGCTATACCACCATTAGAAAACCGTCGTTGGCAGCCCGCAGAGCCGCTGCAAGATATCAAGTATTGCTGGACGAACACCTATCGAGCGCATAACGCGACGGACGTGTGTTTGCAGCGAGAGGCTTCTGGCCGCGTTATTGGTACTGAGGATTGCCTGTATCTAGACGTGTTTACGCCAAAAATTGGGTACGAATCTCCTCTGCCGGTGGTCGTTATGATCGGCGCGGAAACTCTCAGCGGCGGTTCTCCGAGCGTGATGCAGCCGTCAGCGAAAATTGCTCATGTCCGCGACATGGTGTTCGTCAGACCGAACTTCCGACTAGGTATCTTTGGTTTCTTGGCAGCGGAACCGCTATCGAGGGCGACGCATCCTCCCACATCCGGGAATTACGGGCTTTCGGATATCATTGCCGCGTTGAACTGGATTCGTCTTAATATTGAACACTTCGGTGGGAACAAATCGGCTGTAACCTTGTGGGGCCACCGAGCGGGAGCTACGCTCGTAACCACGCTGGTCGGTACTAGGCGAGCGAAGGATCTCTTCCAAAGCGTGTGGATCTCGAGCGGTAGCGCGATATTTCCAGGAAGGGAGTTAGAGCTCTCTGAAAAGCTCAGCGAACCGTTTCTAAATAATATAAGATGCAATGACGCTGCATGTCTACGAAGTAAGAGCGCCGAGGAGGTGATGGACTCTGTACCCGAAACTTGGTACGTGGAGAACGTCGGTCTGCCAGAACCTAGGGAGGCAACGGCGAGGGACAAGCGCCACGAATGGTTAGTCCTTGATGGAGCCATTCTTCAGGAGCCTGTCGGTCAAATCTGGGCGAGGGACGAATTCGCGCAGAAGATTGTAATGGGTACGACCGCCCACGCCGGGACTCCTCTCAAGTATCTCGCATCGAATGTCACGCTGAACTCTACGCAGGTCGAGAAGCTCGTGAAGGAGTCATTGCTCGGCACGATTGGCTTGGCCGATGAAGCTCTACAGTTCGTATAATATTTTTAGATGTGAGAATTCATTGATCGAGATTGATCGGGACGGGACAGAATGAAAGTTTCAATCAAACAGCATAAAAAGTCGCTCGATAGCCCGTCCCGATCCCAAGAAAAATTCCGACATTCGACTCGACATTTTCGGATTCTCGCACACCTCTAATATTTTAATTAGACTGCGGCCAACAACGATTAAAATATTTATTCGCTTATTTATTTTTCAGACGCTATAATGCAACGTTAAGAGGTTTACTCAGCATGATCTCAGACATACGCGTCGTCTGTCCACTGTTGACCGTCGCAAGGATGAAGACCAACATCCCCTTCTACGTGGCGACGCAACCCCGAGGTCAGTTTGCTGATCCGAACAGCGACGCCGCAGCGATACTCGGGTCTTATGCTGCTCGTACGCCTGCTGAGAAGAGACACGTATCCGCTATGCAGCAGCTGTTCAATTATTACGTTTGGCACGGTTCGTTATCGAATCCCGATCGTAGCGGCGTGAAACGGGTCCTGATCGTTGGTCAGGATGCGCTACCCGACCGCGACTACCCCAACTGCGATTTCTGGATAGCAAAGGACATAGTCCCGTCTTACGGACGAGTAGACTGAATCGGTTCTCTCTTCTAGTTAACTCTCGATGGACGTTCCAACGGGTCACCTCGACTACTATCTCATACAGTATTCTTTCATGAACTCTCGAGAAGAGCGCTTGTTGCCTTGCTATGTAGAATCGTGAGTCAATTTTATTCTTTCTTAGGCTGAAACTTATAGTTGCTTCTTAGTTTTCACTTTTCACTTCCCAACATACCTGATCATAAACTTAGATCAATAAATCCTTAAAAAGTATTAAGCAATAATAGAAACATAAAACGTTTAAACATACATTTACACCTCCTCTTTTGATTTTCATTAATTGTGTATCACGAATGTGATCACGAAACAATTTAGATTTGCAACAAGTATCTGGGAAGTGAGAACTGAGGAATGATTATAAATTCCAGCCTTAAAGTCATAAGTTTTGTATAAAAAAGGAACTGGAGAAATTAGAAAGTAAAAGCTGTTGGTTAGTTAAGAACGTTATTGATAAATATTTTTGTGGTGTTTTCGAGGTAACCCTTACTGACTTTCGACACGAAAACGATTTTATTTTGCTTGCCAGACGATCGATTAACTGATTAATTGATTTCGTTCTTCGAACAAAACATATCCAATGTTTCTTTACAAATCAGAGATAGATAAGTTTATATTGCTATTCTTGACTGATTTCATCGCGTCTCATTTATTTATAAGAATGTGTTTTCTTTACCAGAAATGGTAGATGAAAATCGTTATCATATTTTTATTATATTAGAATTTAAAGAACAGAGTGCGAATGTTTATACATATTTTTATTTAGATGGAAAATGGGAAATTGTCTTGTTATTACAGAATTATGGAAAAATCAGTTTAAATTAAAATCTAATATTTTAAATAACATCTACACCGTTAAAGTATATTTCTATTCTATTTTAATAATACATACGAGCGTATTTTCTTATTTATTTATATTTTTATGTAATGTACTAAAATTGCATAAACATTCGCAGTCTGTCGATGAAACAACGTTTAAAGTACTCAGTCATATCATAAAAGAATTTTTGTATGATATTTGTAGAAATCGAACGAATCGCACGTTACTTGTTTTCCTCGTTATACTTTAAGACGACGAACGATGTCCATTCGTTCGTATATCTAAATTTAACTTGGTAATATATGAAATAATAGATTATTCTTTATTTAGGAGTAACTTAAACGTACCCCGTATATCTCAGCCTTAGAACTCATGTTACTATTATTATTTATTGCATAAAACAAATAAGTACAGAATCTAATTTCTTTAGGACGCAAGATTCGCGAAACATGTAGAAGTGGATGACGACTCCGATTTAGTTATAATTATTTATTAACGTCACATTACGGCTGACTAGATGAACGACAAGACAGAAATTCTATTCTCGTTTTAAGAATATTTTTTCACCTAACGCGAACTCATTAATGAGTTTATCTAAACTCTTGGAAACCATGTACTCGTTCGCTTCGAAGTACCGTCTTTTAATGCACGGTAACGGATCGTAATACCGCTATTTCGTTTCTTTAACAAGCTGCCAGATGCATAATATATATTTGTAGGCGATACCTAACAATCCCTTCTTTGTAAATATGCTGTTACCGTTTTCTTTTATTAATTCCAATGTACTTGAATATATTTCTGCTCGCGTATGATAAGATTTCTTTTTAGGAATATTGTTTTAAGAACTGCAAATGATTTTAATATTTTGCATTGTGTACCTCTTTAATTTAAAATCTGCAGTCTAGTAATAAGTATTCTCTGATTTTTATACCGCGTAAGACTGATTTCATGAATCTCATTTCCGTATGAATGTCCAGCTTAGTTTCTAATTAATAGATCGAATAGCTTTATACTACCTCTGGCAAAAAGTATTCAATCGCGTGTAATATTACTGACATTGATATCGAATAGCACTTCGTATTCCAATTGCACTTTAAAGTGCATTTAACGTACAACCGAGAATTTTGTACTTCAAAGGCTTTAGTACTTAACTTAATATTAATTATAATTAGATATTGACTAGCATTTTTTATGTCGAAAACTTTACAGACATGAAAACAAGCTACAAAGTGATATCGTATAAAGTACTTGAAGAGAAGCTTTTAGATTTTCAACTTTTTTATAAATCGCAAATTTTTATACAAAACTAAACTAAACTTTACAAAATCGCTATAAATAGAATTTGTGCCAAACTTTTTGATACCATTATCGCATATAAACGAAATACATGGGAAATAAATAGTTCTAGATTTTTTATATCACTTCTCTTTCTCAAATTCGTATTATTGTGCTTGATCGAATACTCGTTGCCAGTGGCTGACAGTGTAAGAAAACCTGTTTGGAAGCAGTGTTTTTATCATATCGCAAAAGAAGATATGTGCAAGAAGTATCGTTTAATTATTGTACATCGGTGTGTATTCATGGAGTTTTTATGGTCACCGTCATCACCGTTTCTTTGTAATGTCAAATTGCACCAAGGCACATACTCTTTATTGTAACTCCTACTGCCTCAAAATTTCAATTAACTTGGGAACACCTTTCCAACTTCGGCAACGATTGTTGCATACGCATTTTTCTAACAAATTTTAGACGTTCCCAAGTCCATTGAAAGTATCAGGGCGAAACGTAATTTTATTATCGTTTAATTAATGTGGGCCTCCGAACGTTTGTGTGCTATTTGGAGAAAAATAAAGTCTCATTCATTTCTTTTTTTAAATGTTATATATAGTTTGAGAGAAACGTCAACTACAATTAAATACGTATAAATAGTTCACGGGTGTTTATGCCGAATTAAATATTTGCAACTACGTTTAAAAAGAACAGAAGCTTAAGTGAACAGAAAATTTCGTTTGCATTACTTTCCAACATTTCTATAAACGTATAAAGATCCGTGGTCTAACGCTAAATATCATGTATTTATTATATATTACAGTTGTAACGACAAGTAATTTTTAATAATTCAATCGTCTCCTTCTTTTAGGATCTTTTTCGTGGCAAAATTTGACCGGGAAATGCAATTAAAAACTATTGCCATTGACTTGTGCAAAAGAAGTGTTTGACTAAAATATTACAGACCTCGAGACAAGTGACCTTAGGATCATTTTATAAAATTTCCTAACATTTTATATACAAAAAGGAGTGAGAACCTGGGAAAATATAGAATTTTTTTTATATTCGATCTACCCACTGAATCGCACAAAATTCGATTCGCAAGCTACATACATTACTTATTTCTTTTTTCTTTTTTATTGGAATAAGAAGCATAATATGTATATGCTTAAATGAAATAAAGAAGGGGATAAAGATAGATTATTAACTTTTAAAGTTATTTAGATAGACTGTTTTCATGTAAGCTGATTAGAAAATGAAGTGTTTATACGATTATAATTATATTCATTGAAAAAGAATAAAAAAACGTCATGGGAACAAATAAATGTTAACATCCATGTTCGTATTTTGAGCACGTGCATATGACGTAGCTTTAAAATAATAATTGAATTTTTCCCGTATACATTTCATTTGCATATTTTATTTTTAAAAACAGAGACACATGAAATTAAATTCGAAACCAACACTTGAACGTTTAATCTTTTTTTTAAATTCTTGTATTCTTATGTTAGCATTACCCAATTTCTCTAATTCCTGGGCAATGATTTCTTTTATATCCAGTTGTTGCGAGTCGAATTATATTTTCAAGAATATTTTGATTTTACGCAGATGTATTCTTCCACATTTTTTTTTTTTCATTTTAATTATTAATTCAGTTTGGTATAGATGTTTACTACAAGAATTTGATTTACTACATGAGCCGCAGAAATAAGTTCGCGGGCCGCAAGTTGGTCAGCGCTGCTTCGTGCAGTTTAATTGTTCAAAAAGCGCATATTGTTTACGTAAGTGCGAGAACTGTTGAGAATCACTGCCAAAGAATGCGAAGGATCAAGAATCGATCATCGCTCGATCATTTTTACGGATCTCAGTCGTGAATGGGAGTCACTGGCAGGAATTCCTGAGCACTCGGTCGACAATCTTACATTTTAAAGTTAGTGGAGCAATGTTACACGGTATTCCTAATTCCTACCCTGTAGCGTAAAAGCCGTCTCCGGCCGACTTGAATCAACAGGTAGTAATCGGTCCGCGCGGTGCGTGCGTTTAAAAATAATCAAATTACTTGTTACCGCGAATCGGCGGGAAATGTACGGACGATACTGTGAAGGGAGTTCTCCCGAGTGTCCCGTTTGTGTCGGTTAAAAGGTAGTTCCGTTTTCGAAAGCGTCCGCGAGCTGCACGAACGAATTCCTCGCATTCCAACGTCGCTCCAGACACTCTGGCGAGGTTCTCCAGCATCTGCCGAAGACGAGAATGTTACTTTTGTGATTACTCATTCGGTGACATCCGTGGAATGCGGTAAGCGAATCGACTTCCTCCTACGCCTACTCGATTCCTTCTCTTCTTTCGTATTTTTATTCTTAAATATTAATAATGATAATTTCCCTTTATTGCCAGATCGTCCACAGATTTTTATCGCGTTCGCTTCCCGTTAACTTACTGACAATTCAATCGAATTAACTTGCGACAATTCGAAAACTTGTTTTTACAACATTCCTTATTTTTTCAATCCTTATTTTATGTTATATTGTTACATAGATAACGTGTTAGCAGTAACTTGAATACTACAAAATTTATTTATTTGAATTTGCAACTATCGACCGTGAGCCACCTGTTGATTTATAATTAACTTCACCGTGTATTTGAATTTAATTTTAACAAAAGTACGAAACACTTTTTCTACGTAAAAATTAATGATAAAAGTGCGATATCTTCTCTGTAGTCTGCAATTCAGTAACGCACAAATGACGATCTTATCATCGCTTCATAATTCGAATTTCAGTTAGGACAGTGTCTTTCTTCGCTCCATGGAACAATCGTTATATTTTGGCATGGGTGGCATTGGTTGACGAAAAGAAAGGGTGCTGGATAATCCAAATGGATAACGAAAGCCCATTATGGCCCAGCATCTGCAAACCCAGCATCAGCACGAATTCCTACCACTGTGCGACGTACTCTTCAACATAATTTCACTAGCCTCGTACTTTTGCGACGTTGTGTTTGACTTTGCGATGGTTTATGCTCTCGCGTATCACTCCGTGGCTCCTCCTCTTCTCTTTCCCTTGAGCATAGCTCTCATAGCAACTTCGTTGCTTATTTCTCAGGTCAGTATTCAAGACTTAATATATAAGCTCTTAATACTGCGTCTTCTAATTATATTCTTCGTTGATAATAGATTATTAGCGTACGATGGTATTTATGGGGCGCCAGGGGGAAACTAACTGGTAATGCAATAAGAGATTGCAATATCAATGAGAAGAAGGAAAACGGGAATTGGACGATATGGTGTGTCCTGCTGCTTCATTCCACCCAAATTGGAGTATTGTGGAGATACTTCAAGTTATTTATTCCGGTCAATTTAACTTACGTTAAGCACGAGGTAAGAATCTAATCTAATTCACTTCATCAATATTCGGGCACATGACGAAAGAGAATTTTTTACATTTTAATCTTAATATTACTGAAACTCGATTAGGTGAGGGAACTCTGTGTCTTGCGACTTATCCATGCCTTTTGCGAAGCCGCGCCAATGTTGCTGCTGCAGTTATACCTATTGTCAATCGGTATCAACAATGATACGAATGCCGACGGCAAGGCGAAGGAGAGCGAGAACAGAGAGGGCGACAAGCTGGCGAAACTGACCGCGGTATCCGCCGGTCTGTCTCTCTGGAGCGTTTGCTGGGCGGTTGCCAGCTTCAGCAAAGGTGCGGCGCGTCTCCGGAACTTGGAACGACTCGTGCTGACATGGCTGGGTGTGCTAGCACAGTTGGCATGGCGTTTGGGAACAGTGAGCGCCAGGGTTGGAGTACTCGTAGCTTACGCGTCTCTTTATGGTGGACAGTGGCTGTTGATCGTCATGGCTCTCCACTGGCTGTCCATGTTGATGTGGTTGCTGCTCACTCCAGATGGACTTTTCCACGGTGGCGAGCATTTGCCTGTTCTAAGGAAAACGTCATTGGCCGCGTTACTCGCTTTCGTTTACATATTCGCGTATGTAAACCTGCATGAAACGAATCATCGTCAAAAGATGGTACGCTTTTATTTTCGCTGTTCGATTCTGGAGCTCCTCCTGTAACATTTCTGATTGTGTATTTGCAACAGGTGATTTTTTACACGGTGATGTTTTTGGAAAACAGTTTGCTGATCGGTGTCTGGATAGTAGGCGTCAATCGAACTGATCTCCTCCCGCATCAGCATCACCCGAACCCTGTCACTCTCGTACTTACACTGTTAGCTTTATTCTTCGGTGGTATGTTTTTCATGGGCCTCTATTATAGGTAATTATATAAATGCATAAAATCCGCAGTCTAATAATAACTTGATTCCGGTAATGATTGAACTTTGGAAATACAGGTTTTTTCATGTACGAAGATTGAGGTACGAAGCTGGTGGAAGAATGACTGCTTCGAATCTCACTGCTTCATTATCGAATACCTCGTTATCAAATCAGGTACATACGAAAAGGAAATTAAGAACTCTAGCCTGGACGCAATAATTACAAATATCTAACAATAAATAAAACTCGCAGGAGGAAAAACAGATAGACTATACGGAGGATAAGAAATTAGATACGAACGTCGGCGTGAGGAGAGTGAAACTAAGCAACGGTGGGATACCTGGCGTGTTCAATTGCCGTTTTGCGAATCCAGCCGTGGTGAATCCGAATCGTAAGAAAAAGAAACCGACCACGTTCGTACCTCCTCCACCGCCGCAATCTCAAACTGGAGTCGCCTCGACTACCGTGAATTCGGTAGGCGATACGAAACAATGGCTCGGCGCAAACACCAATTCGCGGCAATTGATACCGTTCTGGAAGAAATCTGCGAACACTGATTCGATGCAGGTATAAATAAAAGATTAACAAAGTTGCTATTAAAATGTTTAACTATTAAAATTCTAAAATCAAGTGAACACGTGTATACTAAGAATTTCCAAAATTTTAGTTTAACATATATTACTATAGAATATAAAGTTAAATTACGATTTTTTAAACAAATGAAAGCAGTCACATATAAGTAGAACTATTTTATATCAAACAAATATTTAGCGTTATTGAAAAAATAAACTGAAATCGTACGTTCGTTGTTTCGAGGTAGAATGACCACTCGACAGTGCAAAAAACAAAAACAGACACAAGTACCACTGGCTCATTAAGCGTGAATCTGATACGAGAGAAACTTCAAGAGAAGAAGCAGCAACAGTTACGAGAATTGCGCGCTATTCAAGAAGAAATAAAGGAAGGGAAACTGTTTCCGCCTCCGTCGGCTTCAGCTTCCTCGTTCTCGTCTTCGCCTGGGTCGAATCAGCAACCACCGCCTAATACGAAGCTGCATACATCTCCTAGCTCTCCTCTGTTCACGTCCGCACCATCTATAGGCGATCAGAACGGAGGAGTGACGTTGTCCTCATGGCCACCGGTCAAGATGCACTGCATGTTACCTCCGCCACCGTCCTCGTCATATTATCCGAATGTTTATCCCTCAAACTCGTGGAGAACCACGCAGAGGGAACGAGCGGATACCCCAGAAATCCTGTTGGCGCCGAGATGTCTTCCGCATCATTATTCTCATTGGGTGCCGTCCACTCACGTTAATCACCGGTAATTAGCGAATTAAAGACTGGATAGAGTAAGATACAAAATAGCACAGCCTTAAACTTAAATTACAGACTGCGTTCGAGTCAGAACGGGGGAGAAGATAGCTCGAAAGGCGAAGGGGAAGTAGAAGGAGAAATGAGTGACATGGAGGGTAGCCAGGTGTCCTTACCACGAAGCTATACTCTGCCACGTGAATTTAAATATCATCATCCGAATAGTACTGCCAGAGAACGACGCCCAGGAAACAGCAAAGTTCCTGCGTCGCGATTTTATTTACCTTCTACAAATAGTTCTGATGGTGAGCTTCTATCTATTGTTATTAGGCACGAATTTTATGCATTTGTAAGAAACTTGAATTTGCAAAGAATACAAATACTGCATGTAATGTGTAATTGCGGAGATTTGAAGAGTGCGAAATTTTTTAGGGGATGTAGACAGCGCGGATAATGAAGAGGAGACGGATTCCGAGGTGCATTATCGCGTGAAGAACAATCACGTTATTAATCATCACTGCGAAACCCAACAGCAGCAACAACACCAACAGCAACGGTTCGCATTCGAGGAAAACAATAAGAACGAGTTCGTGAACCCTAACTCGGATTCCACGATGGCTGCGATCGTGTCCGGGAACTCTTACCTAAATAATACTCAAGGATTGCTTAGACCGAATCAGTTGTTCCGGAACAGGGTCAAACATGAAACGAAACTCTGATATTTTTTTCTATGGGCGTGCAATCGAAGAATGTATAGCAAGAGGGATCTTTGTTAAGAGAACGACGAACTTACGGTGAGCAACGAAAGTATTCGAACGACACGGTAGGAAATAATTATTCATTTTGTAAAAAGTGTACAATGCAGAAAATATTTTGATAATAACAATTTAAGGATGTATTGGCTATACAGTCAATCCTAAAAGTTTATGTATCTTAGAAAAACGCACTTCCTATAATTAAAAAGAAATCAGACGTCGGAAGAACAATGCTAATAATAGATAGCTACGTGCTAAAAAGTATAGAAGGAAATATTCAATTAATTGTTGACGCTGGCGAAAAGCTTTTTATACGGAAGTTGTAGGTATTGATATCCTCTACAAAGAAAGTTTCTATGCATTTTTCTTCTAACTCCAGTATTTAACGAGTTACGTACGATTAATTAGCATC